GACTTATTGAAACAAATTCATAGTTAGCTATATAAAACATTCAATAATATCAATTCGCAAGCGTGCTATATTTGTTTCTCAGATCAGAGTTACAATAGATTCCTGAAAGTTGTTCCCATTATTACAACACTAACAACGTAACAACAGTTTCTAACAATAAACAATTCAATTTGTCTTAGGATAACAAACTTCTCTTGAGGCATATAAATTTGTCGTGCTGGCCCTTCCACGCCGCAGTGTAATAAAACGTCTAACAAAACAACTACCATCACAAAGAAGTATTGAAGGTTTTTGAAGCATTTGGCCTCGACCTAAGGGTATAAGAATAAATGTTGATATTAAACCTCTTTTCTTCATTTGAAGAATACCTGATATAAGCATAATCTGTAACAACGAATCTTTTTGAAATTACAGAAATAAAATATATTTTAAACACCATTTAATAAGGAAAGCGGTTCAAAATACATAGAAAAGTAAAAATGTGAAATGACTAGAACGTTGGATATACATAAAATAACTTATTTAATCTGGTTTTATGAGTATTCTATTAAATATTTCATTTGTACTTTCATGCTCTATCTCTTTAGACATAGGAGTCATTCATTGTACCTAAAATTTGTTTGGTGCAATGAAAGACTTTTAAAGATGTTGGTTTTATTATATTTCTAATTAAAAACAAAATTAAATATGATAAATAATACATCTAATAAAAAACAGAAAACCCTTAAAACAAGGTTGTTAGTATTAACAACGTAAACAATGATGCCTATACATCTATACTAATATTAAGAAGAGGTAGTTTGTAACCTTGTTTATTTATTTGTCCTGTAAATAAATAAACAAGGCGCGTAAAATACTGATCCAATCATAAAAATTCCTTCACCTTTAGGCTACATCATTCGCGAGTGGCATAGGCTATAATTTAAGCGGGAAAAATAGCTAGTAAATTATATTGAATAAAAAAAAACAGTCATACCACTGTAACAATACTTTATAGGATAACTTATTAGTCCATCCGTCTGCCAAGACTATTTTTCTCAGAAACGCGTGGAGGTACCAAACTAAAATTTACCTACCAACGCAATCAAAAGATACAGGCGTTAATGCCACAAAGTTTTAAAACTCCTTGAATTTTATGAAAATTCGCAATTAAAACTTACAGGGTACTTCTCGTAAATTCAAAATCTAGAAATTTGGTATAAAGCAAAAAAATTGCGAAAACCGAAAATTTTTAGTTACATCATATAATAAAAATATTTTAATAAATACCTACAGGTTTGTATGGAACCCTCGGTGCATTTGGTTCTACATAATACTTTAGAATAAAATTAAATAGCATCATGAATTCCTTGCATCACACCAATTCCACAAAATGAGCAATAATTAGAAAATATACATAAACTTCAACAAACAATCCCAAATTCCATTCCAACAATGCAACGAAGGAAATGGAACTATAAAGGAAAACTCATAATATTTTATCGTTATGAAATTCTGGTATGCTAGAGAGATATTTTTATCTCCGTCATTAGCTCTGATTAATGGGAGCGTATGAGCGAGGCTTCGCGATATTAATGGTTAACCATTGTTGTGGAATCAGAGATATGTATTCAGTAAGTCATTCGTGACCTACGTCTAGGTCCATTTCAGTTGAACTGTTCTGTCAGCATTCTTCTTCATTACATATCGTAATAAACATGGTCTATTAGATGTTGACATATGATACGTAGAACGGTCCATATTGCAAGGAAATGTAGAGGTACCAGATCACGCGGCAGATCACCTATCTGCTGGACTAATCAAGTGATTTCACTTAGGAAACGTAAGCAATCGCGTGTCAGACTGCGCCAAATAGTCTTCAAATAAACAGAGATGACGAGAGATCATGCAGAAAGCTGTTCTGTATCTAGTCTCAACGTGGCCATGACCACTCTGCAAGAGCGAAACTAAAAGAAAAAGATAAGTACATTACAGAAAACAAATGAAATGATACGAGTCAGAGCAAACATTGAGCAGATTAGTCTTCTTCTTACTTGGGAGTGATCTGTCTGTCAACTGCTTAGTGATCAACTTAAAACATGCGGTCAGTTGCACAAACGTCCATTAAAGTTTAATGTCGAATTTGTATCGGTTATGTCGCTTTAAACTAATGAAAAATTTTATGAACGTTTGTGCAACTGGCTGATGGTCCATTAAATTTGGACATAAGTAGATCATTATATCATTATTATATATATATACATAAGTATATCATTAAGGAAACACCTCGCATAATTATGTCAGAACTTCACTTACAGGTAAGTCCGATTAATCATAAATTGTTCCATTAAGAAATTGTAATTACGAAAATCAATTAAATTACTTTTTTATTTTTTGTAGGTATCGAGTTATACAGTTCAAAAATGAATGACATGATTATTTCTAAAAAATATAACAAATAATATTTAAGATTCCGCACAAGTTTTATAAAACAAAAACCTATTTGGTTTTTGCCTCTAGTAAATCCTAAGTAACCAAAAAGATAGTGCCCGTGGGATTGCTTCTAGACTGCCTCATTTTGAATAGTCATTTTTTATTAACTCGTGAGCTGGAAGTACGGAGTGCAAAATTTATGTAAAGCTTTAACGTTTATTTATCCGTAGGAAAGATTTCTTTATAAGCATTGCTTTTAGCAGAAAAAAAAATATTTAATAATTTGTTTGCCAAATAATGCATTTTTTATACTTTTTAAGATAAGTTGTGGGTGAAAGATTGAGATTTTATACCATCTGTCGGTTAGTTTTACAAACTTCCATTAAGGTTTAATGAATAATTTTAATGGACGTTTATTCAACTGACTGGATCTCTCATAACCATATACAATCATGGTACATATGTAAGTCATGGTAGCACAAAATGTCGAATAATTTCCAATAAAATACGGGTTTCGTTACTTGCAAATGTTCCACCTACCAAGCTCGTTTGTTCGTAGTAACATTCTAAAATAAACTTTATCATGTTGTGATAGAATATATACTAGAATAGAAGCTAGGGACCAGAAAATCGGAGCAGTGATATTTATAGTGTGCCATAGGAACACCAGCGTTAAATCCATTGATATATCTTTAGGGACTGCTTCCAATCGCTGCCGAATGCAGAAGCGCATGATATGCACCAGTTTTTATTTTTAATATAGTTAATGTAATGGGATGGGATTGTAAATTTGTTATTAGAACTTTGATAATAAATTTATTTATGCCACAAATATAGCATTGTCAAACATCATCTTTTAATATTAATGGATACTTGAAGGTTCCAAAATTTACATTGAAAATTATGATCTGATAAGTTAGTGACGATTCATACTTTTGATCATTTACTATAAAACACACAAGAATGTTTTTTTTTATATGTTTGTTTTATATTAATAAACGAGATGACCTTGGTTTTCGCCCGCGGCTTCGTCCGCACTATTTGGATTTTTTGATACTCCTTTATAATGGTTTAATTATTCGAAATCCTTTTTTAAAGAACCTTTATACCATAATAACGTATATGTTTGTCAGATTTCAGCTTGATTCGTCTAGTAGCTTAATCCAGTTGATTAATCCACTAATCCAGTCGATAGAGGATATAAAAGAAAATCTTCTATGACTTTTTACTTTTATATCTTTTATGTCTATCTATATATATTCAACTCCACCGTACCCTGCAACGTCAAATATACATAAGTTAGAGCAGAACATACGATGAAACAGTCCACGATATATCGAACGTCGATTTTAAGAGTACAGGCCTAGATTTATTCAGTAGGCGCAGTAGTGAAAGACTACTGAAGAAAGGAAAAAATGCTGTGCTATGTGTCAAATAATGCTGTGCTTTAATAACTTCCTTTTACTCTGAAAACTTTGTACATTCTTTTGAAATATTATATGACGTGTCCAGGAACTCGTGGATAACCAACGGTTGATGAGTGGTTGTTTATGGTTTACAACTTGATTTAATTTTTTTATTTACAATATGAATTTAATGTATATGTTTCGATGCTGGTAAATACTTCTAAAATTTTTCTTCTGTCATTGGGTATCTTGAGACCACATGTAATTCATGAAATAAAACACCATCAATACAGAAATTATTAAATAAAAGCTACTGAATCTTCTTGCACAAATATATTTACAGTGAATTGAATAATCACAAAGTAAATATATGGAAACGTTAATCATACTGCTTTACCAGACGATGCACGAACAGTACCTACATACCTAATCTCAACTTTCGAACGGCGTTGAAAAATTCCAACTGTAATTTATTCTGAATACGTAGTTCCTTTTGAAGTCGGTGCCCACATAACAATAAGTCTTTATGAGCTGTACGAAAATCTACCACTGTCACAAAGGGAATAAATAATGACGTGGGAAACTCGGAATGAATTTTCCACCCAATAGGTAATTTTATTGAGATCATTGTAGATGAAAATAGTCCCAACCAGCCAGGCAAACGAAGAAAAATCAAGTATTCAACATCACGAACTAATGATACACACAACACACAATCCATCAAATTGGCGTCTTCCTGCTTCATGCATAATTGGTGGAAACGAATAATCCATCATATAGTTACCATATAAATCTTTTTGGATACTCTCCAGTCCAGTCATTGAGTTTTCTATTCACTATCTACATTCAGAATGGTATTCGGTCGTGACAGTTGTACCACATTTTATTATCACTGTTGCTTTTAGTGGTGTGATTCTGTAAAACTTCAGAATGTATCTACTACGTTACTATTTTTGGGAACTGCAAGTTTATTTAACCAAATAATACTATTAAAACTTACTTAAGTATGAGATATTAGTGACTTTATACTTATTTGAAGTTTGATCATTTATAGGTTAATACTTATCATCGCTAGATTTAGACTAAACATAAAGACAATAGGTACCATAATGAAATGTAAATCGAGTACAACCTTTTGTTAACGATAATGAGAAGGGAAACGGCTTCGTCTCGAAACGGAATATGAGGGAACCAGTCGTAGAAGACCCCGCGCGATGGTGAGGTCGAAGCAATTTAACTAAGTAAATAGATACTCAGTGCAGATGTCGTGGATCTTATTTAATCGGACAGTTAACAACGCCAGCTAGTATAGCAAAGCGGAAGGCCTCCGAGCGGTTGTTACTCGTATAATTACGGTAAATGACAAGTCGACAATGTTCGAATTATAGTTTCGATTAAACGAATAATGCAACGTTCCTTACACAATGTTCTTCTTGGCAATAGTAATATCGTGGAAAGTAATCGTTGGCTGTTAATACCAACTTTAACTACTCGTATAAAAGGCTTAATTTAAAGCAATTTTAATCGTTTGCAAACGATTTTTATGAATTAAAATGAATACATTAAAATGAGTAGCTCGGTGGTGTAGCGGATAAGCGCCGCGGACTGCGATCGTAGTCGTTAAGCAACTTTCGCAAGGATCGGTCACGGGATGGGTGACCAAAAAATTATTATCTCGAGCTACTCCGTGCTTCGGAAGGCACGTTAAGCCGTTGGTCCCGGCTGCATTTGCAGTCGTTAATACCCTCCAATCCGCATTAGGCCAGCGTGGAGGGTCATGGCCCATCCTCCTTAACCATCCATAAGGAAGGCCTGAGCCCCTGCAGTGGGGACGTAAAAGGGCTGGTGATGTGAAAATGAATATAGTAAGTTACTTAGTTATATATGCTCATTTGCTTAGTATTATCTGCTTGAAATCATGTTTTGAATTTCAGAAATCATGCCATTTTAGTAATTATTATTTATCGTAACCGTTACACTACAGCCAATATATACAACTCTTCATAGAATTTAAAAACAACCCTATTTTTTATAAAGTACTCAATCCATTATGATGGCGTAATATCTTAAAAATTGATTCGGTATTTTCTGTAGTTTACACAGAGAAAAAGCTACTACATTTAAAAATATGACCTACTTAAAGTGATTAGTTTTTAATTTGATATTGTACTGTTACTATATTGTTCAGTGTGCAGTGATCAGTCCCCCTCAATCAGTCCCCATACTATCGAATTGAATCGTGACCGATCGACATTGCAATTGTGCTGTTACGTTTTCTTGATGGAGTACACTAGCGCCAGTGTATCCTAGTGAACCTATCAAGACTGCGGAACGGCACGATTGCATATGTCGATCGGTAGCAATCGCGTTTTAAGCGTAAGGGGGGTAGATCATCTTCACTTCTTCTTCCTTGTATTTTACCACTTTAGGTGGGGTCAGCTCTATTCGCACCACGGTACTCTGTCCTGGCTTGTCGGGTCAAATAAGTTTTCTTTGGACACATGTCTCGTCATACTGGATCATCATGTCGACTGGAGGCGGCCTCTGCCTCTTTTTTTTCCAGTAGGCTAAGGGCTCTCTTAACAACGTACTCCTCATATCTACGCATGTGGCTGTTTCACCTCATGTGGCTTTGAGTGTGAATTTAGGTTATCGGTGAATTTTAGAGGCTTCCACAGATATAATCGTTTTTTACTTTGTCCAATCGAGTATCCACTCCAACCCACCTGAGCATCTTCATTTCGGTTGTATGAAGCTTTTGCACATTTGACAACTTCACTTCCTCATCAGCCTTTTCTTAGATCCTGACTGCAGGCCTGAATGAACGAATGAATGAATGTATGAATGAATGAAATATTCTTTATCGTACATACACCATACAGTCAGTACAATCGGCGGCCTTATCGTTAAGACGCGATCTCTCCAGGCAACCGTTACAGAAATGACAAAATAAATTATAATTGGGTAAGCTATAGCTATGATACTTACAAATAAATACTTACAAATTACAAAATATATAAATAATAATGCATATAATGGATCACATAAACACATTATTATAATCATGATATCAAAACTAAATAAATATATACAAAGATGAAGCAAGCAAACGGTGTCCATAGTGACAAATAATGCTCCTTAAGTCTACTTTTGAAACTGCCTATAGATTGTACACGTCTCACATCTTCCGGTCACGCATTCCAGAATCGGGCAGATAGAATAGTAAAAGATTTGTCAAAAAAATATTAGTGGAATGCATTGGTATCTCCAATTTCAAGTTCTCCGATGACCTTAAAACATGACTGTGTGTATTATGAAGGAACACTGACCCAAAGCGAATTAGGGAATATTAACGACTACAAATGCAACTGGGGCCAACGGCTTAATATGCCTTCTGAAGCACGGAGTAACTCGACATAATAATTTTTTGGTCACCCATCCCGTGACCAACCCTTGCGAAGGTTGCTTAACAACAACGATCGCGGGCGGTGGCGCCTATCAACTACGCCGCCAAGCTACACTTCTAACACCTTTCTTCTATTACATTAAAAAATATCGACGATAGCAAAGTTCCATATTTATAACATTTTTGCAGAAGATAATTTTCTTTGTTTCAACATTTTTTATTGCTTTTGGTATATTTAAGTGCAATAGCCCATATTACCTAATACTTTATACAAGCGCACAAAACACTTTTCTATTCAAAACGATCTTCACCCTTATATAGAACTAAGTTATTCTTTAGCGCTCTTTGAAAGATGTTGAATATTTGATGGGAATTTTCCATAGCCGGGAAGTGCATGTAAAGACGCCACTTTGAATCAATGAGATGCGTCAAAATGCAGCCACTTTTATAGTATTACGTTCATCGACCTTATCTTTGACTTTATGCTGAGTTTCTGGAAAAAGGAACTCGATAAGCACATTAATTAGAAAACGGTAGGTTGTGTATGGCCCATTGTCCCTATTCGATCCCATTTCATCCATAGGGGAGGTCTATGTGCCAGCGACGAGGACATTAATAGACTGAACGGTGATAATTATAATGATAGATTACAACTCTATATAAAATAAGTCGATAGAATCTACCTTTAAGTTCATATTATCTGAAAATAATTTACACATTTTTGCTACCTATTTGATTAATTATAACTGAAAATTTAAAGTTTAATTAGTGAGGTAACACTATCATTTACTTTTATTACCCCATTAGTGTCGTGTTACTGACGTCAGAGCTTGGATCACAGAGCATGGACTTACATAAAATCTAAAATTATAGACACATTGTGGAAATCTGACGTGCAGCCGTGTGTACAATAAGATACAGTTAATGTAGCTCGCCGATGGTACCTCATGTACCTGTGCAGAAGGATATTTTAGTAAGGGAAATATCAGCCATTTATAATGATTAAAGTATCCGCCTGCCCCCTTCAAGTGCAAGATCACCTCTTACATGTTTTATTTACTACTATAAGACGATTAATAAGACCATTTTTTAATAGTATCAATTTTAATGTTATGTTCGATTATTGGAATTAATAGGTCAGGCATAAAGTAAACACCATGGTGAAGTTGAAGTTAAAGAAAATTGGTACATAGATTCAGCCATTCACTGTGCGCCAAAATATTAAGATGTTAGTTATTATACATGTAATAAATTTCTCACGTACGCATGACACGACAAATCCTGAACCTGAAATTTACGAGTACTTCTGTTGCATACTGTACAGTAAAACAGTTGTTGAGTTTACCCTAAAGCGAGTATCTAAATAACCTGAGATTACGACTAGAAACGAACGATTAGAAATCATTCGCAATTATGGTTTAAAATAGATTTGTAGTTTTTATACTCATGTTCAAATAAATAAAAGAGAAGGATAGCAATAAATTTCATCGTTCCTAACTAAAGCGACGTTTACTTGGCGCTAGGCGAATTCTTTAACTCCAATATATTCAGTAACAAATTCAGGAAACGTTGGAATAGTATTTCGTTTCTCCTTAATTTAGTGGTATGTTACAAACTAATTTCACTTAGTGATCTCGAAACTATAGTCGTTTAAACCGCAACGTGCTAAATATTAACGTTAATTTAGCTGGTTAACAGTATTATAATGAAACAACTATAAATACTGATACTACAAGTAGATATAGATCAAAACGTGATCAATATTTCAGAAGAAAGAAGGCAAGTATTCTTTTCTTTGTAAAAATAAATTAGATACATAAATAATTATTTATTAAGACGCTTTTCGAGACGAGACAGTAAAACGTTCCTAGCAGATAATCCATAACATATTCTGACTGTAAACACTGATATCAGAAAAAAATGCTTTATAATTAATCAATCTTACTTATAAAATATACTGATAAATATTTATAATGAAAACGATTGTGAAAAATTGTGGGTATGAGTTCCATCCCGGGGGAAACTGAGGCTGGTGATTTTTTACGGATCTGTATCTAAAAGGGTAAAACGGGAACCTTAATACTAAGACTTCGCTGTTTGTCACCAGGCTGTATCCCATGAACCGTGAAAGAAAGACAGTTGCAATTTTCACAGAGGATGTATTTCTGCTGCCACTTCAGCAACAAATACTAAAAAACAGAATAAAATAAATATTTCACGGGGCTCCCATATATCAAACGTGAACGTATCAAGCGCGAAAAAAAAACTTCAAGTAATGTGCCTACTAATCCGTAATACGTCATCAGATTAAAAGTATTGAGTAAGTATCTAAGACAGTTTTTCTAAACAATATTTTTTGCAATTAAATGATAAGCTTATTTTGTTGCATTTCTATTAGAGACAAATATTAATTGAAAACGAAAGCTTCAATAAATTATGACGTGTTTTGCAAAATCATAAAAATATAGTTATCCAATTATATCAGCGCAATTGAAAATAAATTCAATAGCTAATTTAAACAGGAACCACATCATTTGTAAAACAAACAGTGAACCAACAATTACCCTTTCATTTCCAAACGGCTGGAAACATGTAAACCGAGCACAAACAATGCGCTGACCTGGAAATCTCAGAAGTGTTTCGGCCCAAAGATTAATTACCCAAACATCTCAGCTAATCTTGAAATCTGTGTGCATCCGAGCGAAATAAATAATTATCTCAACGTTAAATGCGATATAATTTTCTGTCCGTAATACATTTAAAATGTATTTATAATAGTTTGTGTACCGTCTTGAGCTCAGTCAGTCAGTCGTGGGAAAACTAGCAAATGCGAAAGTGCTGCTAAAAGGTGTCAATATTCAGGAAATTGATAGCGACGAAAATATGGATGAGCAAATTAACAATGGCGAGAACAAACAAAAAGTAAGTCTGAGATATCTTATTATGAAACATAACCGTTTTGGATTTTGTGTCTTTATGAGTCTGTATAAAGGAAATGGTACTATTTCAGCATCCGTTCTGTTATAATGATATCCGTCAAGTTAAAGATAAATGGATGTGTCACTGTATAGTTTAATGGCTTACATCGGTATATCCCAAAAAGTAATGCTTTTAAAGATTTTATTTAATAACTTATAATATCCACTTTTTTTATTTAAATTATATTTTTTTGCTATTTTTTCAATAACATATATGTATATATGTAAAATATATGTAGAAATTAAGATTTCAAAAATATATTCTGCTCCTATTGTCGGTTATTGGATACTATAAAAAAGCACCTGTTGAATGTCACATTAAATACACTTTTTTACAGATTAAGAAAGGGGACCGTCGTAAAAGTAAAACAGACACTGAACAAGCAAGAGATGATATAAAGAAATTTAAAGAGAATCTTTTACAATCTATTCCAGTGGGCGAGTGAGTAAATATAATTTATTGTAGTAACTTGCTTTTAAAATTTTAATCAATTCACTCATATAATATATAAAAACTACCATTAATACGAGTATAATGATGGCGATAAAATTCGAAAATTATTAACAGGTAAAGTTAGAAACATTGTTTGGTTGTAGGGGGTAATCTTCGGATATACTTATTCTACCCAAAACTTTTTTTGCTAGTGGATCATCATCAGCCCTTTTACGTCCCCACTGCAGGGGCCCAGGCCTTCCTTATGGATGGTTAAGGAGGATGGGCCATGACCCTCCACGCTGGCCCAATGCGGATTGGAGGGTATTAACGACTGCAAATGCAGCCGGGACCAACGGCTTAACGTGCCTTCCGAAGCACGGAGTAGCTCGAGATAATAATTTTTTTTGGTCACCAATCCCGTGACCCACCCTTGCGAAAGTTGCTTAACGACAACGATCGCGGGCCGCGGCGCTTATCCACTACGCCACCGAGCTAGTGGATCATAAGCGGGTGATATAGACTATCATCTACACCGGCGAAGTTGCAGGAAAAAAGCTAGTAACTAAATAAAAAAGTGGTTAACAAGTCACCATTTAATTACTACTCGACTTCAAAAGAACTTAATTTATCTTGTGGATGTAAGAAATTTAATATTAAATTTTTGAAAAAAAAAATAAACTTACAAAATAACACATTTTCAAGTTTACTGAAAACTAGTGTAAGTCAGGAAATAAATAATATTTTTTTTTTATATTATCATTCGAAAATCATACTTTTATTTGATCATGAAATTAAAATGCGCACAAAACGCAAAGACGCAGGCAGCTGTGCCTCAGTTTAACACTAGTACAGCTGCCAACGTTAACATTTAATTATGGTGTGCACATAAAATTATTCATTGTAACTAGGTAAATTAATTGTAAACTAATTTAGTTTAAGCTCAATAAATTATTATAAATTGTTATTATAAAATCATAGAGAATTTTCTAATTGAACTAGCCCTGATAGTGTTAGTATTTAAGTACGACATATATTATAATAGTCTTAACAATCCGTTAGGAAGTAATAGCCATCCCTTGTCACGTTGTCACTAACAACAAGACAGGTAATACGTGACACCGGCTCGAGATCCCCTTCAACGTAACACATTTTGAAAGGAACTCGGGCAGCATCAAATATTTACATTAGGTGTCTAACCAAAAATCCGAAGACCTAATGGACTCTTTTATTTTTCCCAGTTCCTCAATTATTTCTGATGGTACTTCAGAAATAGTGGTACCGCAGCCGGCGCGGTCGCGGTCCGCGTCTAAAGCGAGAGAAGCACTTTGCATACCCGCTAATGTATTAGCGGAGCTGGATGAGCAGAAGCTGTTCGAATTGAAAGAGGTATGTGACTCAAAATAGCCATTTTACGATTTGTCCCCAATTATTTCTATCATCATTTCTATTCTAAAAACACTGTGAGAAATCTTGAATTAAATGGTAGTAAACAAAAACCACGAGTGCGAGCTTAAGCTGAATTTCAATTACAAAATTAGTGTCATTTGTTTCACCATGACACTAATTTTGTATTTCATTACGTCAATATATGATAAAAACAATTTCTTTATGGTGTAAAATCTGAGACAATGCTTCAGCATCAAAACTCTATTTTGGTATACAAAACATTGTCGTGCCCACATAATCGTGTTGTTAGATAAAAATTCGAAATTATATCTATTATATCTTTTTAAACATATTTATTCTTTGGCAAAGATGCTATTTACTTTATCAAATATATAAACAAACGCATGGTATGGATCTAATATCATCATACTAATGAGTTAATTGTGATATTTGACGCTTACAAATTAAAGCAAAGTAACTAACTTCCTAATGTAAATCTTATTGTTACGAGTACTTTAGGTATTTGACCTAAAATGATTATATGTCCATCTCAATAAACAAAATCGTCAAAAAGAACATCTTATAAAGTAGGTGTTCAAGTTTTGATTAGGCAGCTTTTAAATATGGAGCTTCCATTTGTTCTCATTAATACTACAAGCTGAAACCGAACTTTGACACTTTGTTTCTATAATTCAAATTCAATGTAAGTGATCCTGTACTAAAAGAACCTTTTGTAATAAATACTTAAAAGGAAAGTTCTTCGTTTCAGTTACTATTAATAGCATTGTCTTTATTCAGAAAAGATATCGTGTTTAATGTCATCGGTAATGGTATGAATATTATCCGAGTATTTGTGTTAAAAATAATATTCGAGAAAATCTTTATGAGTTCTGTTCTTCTTATGTTTTTGATTTCTTTGTTTTCTGATGACGGAGAGTCCTGTGAATGATAATAAATTATGTATGTTTTAGGCTTTTTTATTATTCGACTTAGACGGTGATGGTTGTATAGACCATAATGATTTACGAGGCACACTAGTGAGCCTTGGGGAGAAAGTGGACGAGCAAGCTGTAAAGAATATGCTGTCTGAGGTATGGTGCAAATTACCGTCAAAATAAGAAATAAGTATCTTGACTATATTATATAGAATATTCCACTGACACTAAGATGTAACCATTATAAAGTATTAAAAGATGAGGATAGAAATATTTAAAAATATGACGTCATTTATTTTTATTAAAAAAGATAACGGCAAGATACAAGAATAATTTGATACTTCCAAAATCACAATTGACTTTGCACAGTACGAGTCCTACATAGGGACCTACATGGCAATAATTTTTTTTAATAGATTACCCCATAATTTAAAAAATGAAATTAATATCAAAAAGTTTGTAACGACATTGAAGCAAATTCTCATTGACAAGTGTTATTATAATGTCCAAGAATATTTTGATGATAAATTGTAATATTTTATTGCCGTTGACATACCATGTTTTTCTTTCTTCCTTGACAATTTAATTTATCTCTTGACAATTTAACTTTTGTTTTGTTTTGACATCTACATTGTGACATAATTTATAATTTTTAATTCTAAGCATTTGACATTTATTGTACTTAATTGAAAATTACCTGACAATTAACATTAATTTTATATACTTATGATTATTTTTAAAATGAAAATTAGGGACGAATGTGAATTTAAATGAAATTTTATGAATGTAAGATATTGAGGAAAGTGAAGATATAGAAGATTTTATTTAAAGCATTTACTATTTACAATGAAATTTTAATTTTAATTTAAATTTGCTACACACTTACAGGATTTCACATAAACTGTACTTAATAATAACACCTGTTTTACTATGTGACATGCAATAAATGAATTATTATTATGATTATTATGATATTTAAGGCGAGGTTTTAAAAAATTATTACTTTTTAAACCAATTTTATTCTAGGGCTATGCTAATATTTGCCAAATTTAAATCATTTTATGAATATTAAACATAACGATCTATTACTTGATAAAAACAGAAACATTTTCTATAATTGGCTCTATAGAAAAAAATCGCATAGATGACTCTAAAAAGGTCTTTTTGATCGATTTTACGACTAGTCATTTCATCATAACTATGTAATATATATACATATATAAAATAGGCTTTGATATATTCGTTTGATCACAAAAAAAGATAGCTGTATTTGTATGGAAACGTAAGCGGAGGAAAAAGAGATCCTTAAAATGTTAACAGTGTACCTAATGACGTCACTGAAAAGGCATTTAAAATATTCTGACTCTCATGGAACAAATATTTAATTTTACAACAATTTTCGAGTGGCCGCTTTATATGTTGGTACGTCAACATTTTATAAACACTTTGAAAGGTATGCCACCTTTGACTGAAATTGTCTGAATAATAATAAATTAACTTTCCGCATTACCAGGATCAACAAAAAATAATTCATGCAAAGTCCAAATGTTTTATCTAGTAAAAAAACATTACATCATTAATGTTAAACCACGTTGTTATAAAGTAGTTACTCTTTTTAAACCATCGGCCGCCTAAATTGACAGTTACATAAAAAGAAAATTTCACATTGAGACGTGGTAACTTAATTTGGTCGGATAATGGTTTAAATCTGGTACTAAAGTGAATCCTCGTGTCCTTTGTCCTTTTTGCGTCATCGTCTATTATCTCTGGCCAGCCGAGTGAGTGTAGGAAACCATGTCTCCTCACCTCAGTGTAGTTGGTTACCTTTTATTCATTACAACTTCCTTAACTGTTAACACAATTATTTATTTAATCGAAATAGCAGCAATAAATCTACGTAATATAGGTAGAAAAATGAAAATGAGTATTGTACTAAAAATATATATATATTTATTGTCACTCAAATGGCAATTTCATTCTTTCACAGTTAATAAGTAGCCAGTGAGAAAAAAAGTACGTTATTCAAAATTGAATGATTTCTACAAAATAAAACTTTTTATGGGTATAAAACAAAATTCTTATAACATTTAATGCGAAGGAGGAAAAATTCACTGCTATTTTTTTCTTCATTTTATAATAAGAGGAAAACAGCTTTCTTGTTGAGTCGTAGCATAGTATTATTTGTATTATTTAAAAAAATATGTAATAGTCTCCGTTGCCCTATTTAAAACTGAACTACAGCAAACGGCGCTACCGCTTTCTTATTTAAAAGAAACAGTTTAGCATATTTTATTTATTTATTTTTAATTTGATGTTTAACCACCAGGCCCGAATTGTAAGGCCTACACTGATGACAAAATAGTATTCCCAAATCCTATACATAAATGTTACTACAAAATCAACTCTACATTAATATTTAAATTTCTGAAATAAAATGAGCATTTGTGAACTATATTTTTTTTTATTTCAATATCAATAAATCCACATTTCCATTACGGGCTTTTTAATATTAAATCTTTTTACAGGCGCCAAATCCATTGGATTTCGACGCATTTGTTAACCTTCTTGGGTATAAAACCCTTGAATTGGATTCGGAGGAGACCTTGGTGGCAGCACTGTCCCGTTGGGACAAAGATAATTCTGGATTTATATCTGAAGAAAGGTATTTATGAAAAATGTATATATTTTTTTGTTACACGTCATATATAGAATAAGTATAAAATGGGCTTGACATAAAATTTTACTAAAAAAATACACTATTATACAAAACATTCTAAAGAGTATTTATAGTTCTCTCCACAGGTTTTATTTATGTCTTCTTGCCATTTTCCTTGTGGAGTAGGCAGAGGAAAAGTTATGTTATTTTATTAAAATAGTCAAAATATCCAAAAAAAAAAGAAAAAACACTCGCGCCACAAATTCAATAAAATTAAAACTTTATTACTTTTTGAAGTATGTTTTAAACAAAGAGAATCTTGTACGTTAACCTATGTGCCTTCTGATAGATATCGTAAACATTTAAGGTCCAGTTTACTATGACAAAATTGGCTAGATGCATCTGTGCAAGAGCAATAGCAATATGTCTTACAAATTGTATGTATTCAAGCACTAACAAATAGGTTCTCCGCGATCAATTGAATATTATTCGTGCAGTAGGTCACGAAAAGGATTTAGAATGTTACAGTACAAGATCTGGATGTCCTGTTGATCCCATCTAAAAACTAATTAGAAATTAGAATCAATAGTGCTTACGTACTAACTATGAAGATTTTGTCTTTGTATGAATTCGTGTTTTAACTAATTAAATAAATAGGTTTTTCGTCAAACTACAAATCTGGCCGCAATAAGGTATCGGATATGCAAGCTTTCAAACATTTTACCTGTATGATCGAATAATTTTGTAAGTTATGAACGAATAATGTAGATCACGTATCAAATAAAGCTTTGAAACGTATACTTTCTTCTGGTTTAATCCCTTTCAGGAACAACAATAACTATAATCCTTAACAATACATTGTGTATACTAAGATCTTGAGATACTTTGTTATTATTTTCTTTTAAGCTTATGTTTTGCTACGATTCTTGCTAAGTGCATGAATCTTATCTCTATTGGTTATGATTTTTATGTAATTAAAGATGTATTATCCGACTGATTGCGCTAAAGTTTATTGATAAAAACTTTGGGCAGTTTGAGACTTCTTTAGGAACATTTTTATCGGTGTAAGGAGAATGAAAACATCTTCATATCGATTTCTAAAACGTGTAAGTATTTTTATTAGTGTCAAGATTTTTTTAAATCATATTTAGCAGCAGAATAGTACTGTAAAAGCACGATATGAGTAAAATTAACACGAGATAGAGTCTAAATTATTTGGATGTTTGTTACCCTCACAAAATTAATTTTTTCGGGTAAAATTACAACTAAAAATAAAATTACTAGATAAACTAACTATAATAATACTTAATGTGAATTCAGAACTTCTAACTACATTCGTTTTAAGAATTATTTTCGTTATTGTAGCTATCTATCACTTGCACTAGGGCTTCCGATTTTGGAATACCGTGATCGCGATATTGCGTAATCCCACAACTTCTGTCCAATCCCATGTTACGGGATTAAGGGCGCGGGATCCGCGGGAAAGAAACATGCACACAACCTCTCGCGAATGAGATCGATCGTTGACTGATGGCAGACTGAAGAACAAAATGACCAAATCGAATAATTTAAATCATAATTACTTTTGTCAGTTGTAAATGTCAATTTACTAATAACTTGCGGACCCCGCGAACTCAGTTCAGCATAACAGTAAATTAATGAGCAGATTTACAAATGAGGTGAACTTACTTCGGAGTAGTCAAAATTAGGGAATCTTATTTTTTTATTTGTCTTCATACAAATTATCATTTTATAGACAATATTATTTCGTAGCTCGGTGGCGCTACGGATATGCGCCACTGCGCACGATCGCTATTGCTAAGCAATTTTCGCAAGGGTTGTGCACGGGATGGTGACCAAAAATTATTAAACATAGGCCTGAGGCCCTGCTGTTTGGCTGTGAAACAGTTAATGATGATGATCAATATATTAAAGACGAAAATTTAATAAAACAGTAAATAATTCATAGCAATTTTGGCGAACACGTCACTTCAAATTGAAATAACTTTTTTATTTGGGAACCGATTGAAATAAATCTTACACTAAATGTTAACGGAAGAATGCCGCAATATAATAGTGAAAACTGCATTTAAATCAGTTCAGCCGTTTCTGAGATTATCGTGCACAAACGCACAGACAAACAGACAAACCAACAAACAGACAAAAAAAATAAAAATTATTGTTTTGTGTTCTATTACGCTTATAAATGTCCCTTAAAACAGTTTTTTTCATATATCTTCAATGTACAGACATCGATCGGTTACGTTTTTATTATTGTATATAGATATAGATATATTTTGTAGTTAAATGATTCTTTGATCTTTTCGGTATTTATTTCAGTTTTCAGTGATAAATAAACAGTGTAATTTTGAAACTAAAAAATAAATAAATGTGGAGTTATGTTGATTAATTCATTGTTTAATTGCCTAAAATTAATATTAATATTTTCTATGCGCGAGATCTCGCAAATACCGGAAAAATATCTAGTACCGCAAATACCCAGATTGAATACAGGTTGCGGGATTGGAAGCTCTAGTTCAATCCCGCACACAAATTTATGTACATATATCCTTCTTCCGCAGCACAAATTTATGTATATCCTTCTGTGCTAGAACCTATAAGCATCTCCTAAACTATTCACCGATCAACACCATCTAAACTTGTCAATACTTAATAAATTGTTGAAGCATTGTTCGCTTCACCGATGGTGGTAACTTAGGCCGGTTTTAATGTAATTAATTTACGTAATCACCGGGTAATAACGGCCGGAAACTACGCGAATATACCAACTTATCTAATCTCTGTGGTATAGAAAGTTCGCTTGGAAATTATTAAGCACTGCATCTCATACCGTTAATCGTCGATTAAAACAATATTGGACAACTATTACACATAAAACTTGGGCTTCATATTCCTGTTGATATAAATATTGGCATATAAATAGTGATAAAAAAACTTTTATATGAAACCTGATAATTTTATTTTATAAAATATTAGTTTTCCGACAGCGGCTCTGCCCACTCTGTAGGTATATTAATGAAATTTGCATTAAAATCCGTTGTGTAGTTTGAAAAATCTCACCGTACAGAGAGCAGGAAGTGAATTTTATATACTTTAATAAATATATATTTTTCCACTTACCTACTTATAAGTTATCTTCTCTACAACGCATTTTATTTCGTTTATAATCAAGAGTAATAAATTCAAAAGAAGATTTAAGTCACGCATTGACACCGAAATCTCAAAGGCAAAGAAACCTCAATTTATCTTTAAAAGAGTTTTATTATTTCAGCATAGGTATTATAAAAGATTGTTCTTTAGATGCTAAATTCCCTTTGGGGCCATAAACAATACTGGGCCACGATTAAATTATATTTTCTGTTATACGTATGATTTATTTTTCGGTTACCCGGCATCGTAATGATTTAAAACGGTCCACCGCGTTGTTTCGGAGTCATATCATACAGAAAAAGTATTTAATAAATTTTTGCTTACCGAATGTATTCGACAAATGATTTTTTTTAACTGCGTCGTAAACTATTTTGACAAAATATGTATTCAATATTTTTATTGAAAATACGAATCGGATCGAAAGTTTGCACGCCGGTTTTAAAGTGTCTCCATCTCTTTGTCGATTTCGATTGTCGGTCGGGTCATTATGGAATCATTTCTATAATATCTTGGGTCTGGATGTTATGTTACCTTCGTTGTTTCAATTGTCTATATTAAAAGTGCTTATGCGAGATCTGAAAAACGTATGTAATGTTGTCTCATATCTCATATTGTTTTATTTTATATATAATCGTTAAAAAAAATCGATTAATACTAACAAGTACAGGAATTAAGTGGGAATTTAACATGTCATTTACATACATACTATGATTTTTCCATATTTAACCCAAATAGTCAACAAACCATCGTTATTTCCAGGTTCTACCCAAAACTTATTCTATTTTTCACTCAAAATTTAAACGTTTATAAATCAAAGAATAATACATAAAACTCATTATTTTTTTTTTTAATACTTCGTCGTATCAAATCAGCCTCCAAGTCTGAGAAAAACATAAAAATTATTGCTTGTTCTGTAATAATAAATTTCATTTTTCTCTTGAAAGTGTTATTAATAATTCGTGCGCACCAGTACCGTAACGGAGAGAGGTTTATTAATATTCCCAGTGTAATCTGTGCCTTACCTCAACTGGGAGACCGGCACATAATCCCGGGAAAAATTGAAGGAAAGGTAGAACATTTGTAGACGGAGGGTGGTCTAACAAAATTCAGTTATTTGTTTCGTATTTCACAGGATCGCTACGACGATTTGGATCATAACTTTGTGATTGTCGGTTGAATAAAAAGAGGCCCCTTTATTCACCGTGTTACCGAATCAAGAAGTCGACTTACAGGGATTGGGGGCGATAAAAGAATAATAGTATAACATTTGCCAGGGTCTTTTAGTGACACAGTTTTCTTTGGAAAATAAAGAGGTCGTTCTTAATTCGACTGAACAACTTTTAAAAAAAGACCTTCTTTTTTACATACTGGATCGTCATTATATTTAATGATTTTATAATATATTAATAGTTGTGGCTTATTTATATTGGACCACGCGTGGAGTGTGGGTTATTTGTGACAATATGCTGCAGAAATTTGAACTTTAATTTTAGCAACATTCAGTGTTGATGGTTTATTATCTTCAGTAATTTTCATCTCTGGTTGTCAGTATACAAGTGTGATGTCCAGTTTGATATGTATTTTTATTGAATTAATTCAGTTTTATAGCTTATTTCTGAACTATATAACTCAATTAAGTACAGCACTGTAAATCAGCCCACCACTAAAACTTCGTGCTTAAATACGCTTAAATACTTCGATTTATGTATGTGTGAGTATTTTTTTAAGAGGAATTGAAGTGTATTAAAATGAAGGTTCAAATATGGGCCTTATTACAAAGCTACACTTTGTTCGCCACAAATTCCTTATTTATTTATTTATCAGGCTCTCACAACAATAAGTACTATAAAACTAAACTTAAAATTAGATCATGACAAGGTTATATACTAAGTGTCCCATCCGTAGATCAGTACACAAAGTACAGCAAAGTATCCCTGGTATTGCTATGGGAGACAAGCACGCGCGTCACAGCTGAGTGACCAAAACCAAACGAATATTATCTTCTCATCGCGATATCATAGAAGACCTTCAGACTTATTCTGAAATTATTGGTCTATTTTCGCATCATATATGCAAACTACTTATTCTAGGAATTCATTTTTAATTATCTTATGTTCGTTATGCAAGACCCATCTTAATTAGTCTTCGACGGTCTTCAAGTGTAATAAATTAATTTATCAAATCTTATCTAATAATTACAGAATTCGTCACGATTTGATGACATTCGGCGATCGGTTCACGGAGAAGGAGGCAGATTATGCTTTGGACGAAGCCCCTATCGTTCAAAAGAATGGCAACACGATGATCGACTACTTGCGCTTCTGCAGTCAACTGGCTGGTCTTCGGAAGGCGAACAAAAAGCAAATTCAATAGGAAAAAATTGCAAATTCTTCATGACACACTGTATTGCCTATTTTATTTTAAGTTGCCCTTTGATATTTACACCGAAAATAAAAACTTTTCTTCATTGTACTTTGTCAAATATTCAAATGTATATTTATTGTATTAGTTCACATACAATAACTTTATAATATTATTTCAGGGTTTTTTTATTTATGCAATTAGGAAAATTATAAAACTGTAGAGAACATGTATATAGTATCCTGGGATATTTGAAACTGCAATTGTTTAAAAGTTCTATTAAAAAAATCAATTTATGCTACGGATTCTTTTATTTGCCTTAATTAATATTTATGGAAAATATAATTTATAATCACATCACATACAATAAGGTATTAAAGAAGATGAATCTTAACCGAAGAAGGCAAACGAAACGAATTATCTTCGTTTTCTTATTATTTACATTATGCTACTGAATGATAAGTGACTTAAATTCTGATGAGCCACAGAAAATTATTTTAATTAATTTGATTTGTTAATGTGCGACTCGATATATAAAATCACTACTACACATCGATGCCGATTATAATCCATCATTTAAAATAAAATGTTTTTAATCTATAATTGAACTGTTAACAAAGCTGTTCATAAATAAAATGATTAGTGCCATAAACACCGAACTTATATTCAGCTATTTAATGAAATAAGAGAGGGGGAAAGGGAGTTAGCAATTTTCTGAGAGCAAAGTTGTGATACTAAGAAATACCGTCTTACCCAAATGGACTCCGCGAAATAGAGAATTCTCAACGAGTAATAACGGACCGCCCGCGAATTCAACTTCGGCTTTCAGTTATCTACATTTCTGAAGTTTAAAAATTTACTTTAACACCATTATTCACACCATAAAATATTTACAATCTGATTTCACTTGCCGGCAGTTTTGATATTATTTTTGCCTTAGTACATACCGACGCCCGTTCATAATAGAATTTAATAAAAAAACAAAAAAATATTAAAATCTTATGAACTTTGGCTACCCAGGTGATTTGCTTGTAGGTGATTTTAGGACACAAAAATGTGAAATTTGAACACTCTGGTGATCAAAGTGGAATAAACCTTGTTTTCAGCTACAATACATATGGCTCTTAGTCTATAGATGTAGTAGCTTTCCGCCAGCGGCTTCGCCCACGTGGTTCCTAGGAAACTAATTACTGTGATAAAAAGTATCCTATTATCCAATTCTGATAATACCCTATCTGTATATCAAATTCAATCAAAATCCGTTCAGTAGTTTCGGCGTAATTGACGGGCAAACATCCAAACAAAGAAACTTTCACATTTATAATAATAGTAGAATTTTCAGCACTAATTGTATTTACTGTAATAACTGATACAACTCACTCAAGATGTTCCTTGTATATGTCGAAATCAGTGAAGACGATCTCGACTATCTCGTGTGGGGCTGCGAGGAACGTATAGAGCAGGCAGTCGACGCGAGGTGGGTACGGCCGAGGGTAGTCTGGACTACTGAACGTGCCACGCTCCTTGCCGTATGTCGATGTGAACCGTACGCACGAACAACCTGTAAACAAAATAATGCATCGTTGTATACATTATCAGTAAGGTTGGATGCGTAAGGCTCATAACTGGATCCCCGGTATACCGAGGATATTTCGCAACGTAAATATATATAACGTAATCTATCTGGTCACCATGCCTCAACCTGTCCTTTTCACAAAAGGGTGGTTGAAGAGCCTTAGTTTAAGACTTCAGACATCCTTCTTAGAACATTAACTTTAAAATCAATTTTGAATAATGCATATTTCCTTCGAAATTATAAATACACTATTAATTTTCAAATGAATACTCATGCCCGTTTTCACTTACCTAGAACGAGGCATAGGTTAACAAGAAATCACTTAATATTAAGAGTAGCATAAGCAGATTTGTCGTTTCACCAAACCTGTAACGTTAGGTAATGAATGACTTACTAAGCACTTCCTTAGTTAAGCAACGTTTGTCTATGATTTAGCATGCTTCAGTTTCTTTCCTTTTTTAATGTATGGTATATTTGCGTTTTCATAATTTTACCAATATCACATTAGTACACGTAAAGAGACAAAAACAAAAATATGTTTTTTAGGTAGAAAAAATATATGTTATCTTGTATTCACATGAGCGCCTAAGTCATCTTTGTCCATTATTAATAAATCTGAAAATTCGAAATATCCCATTGTTTATATCTTAATTTTAATATGTAAAATCCTTAATGTAACTTACTTAATTGATATTATCCCTTGACTCATCTGTTATGGCCTTTGTGTAATATGACATATACATTGACTCTTTGACCATTACGGATGTGTCAAGGGATAAAATTAATTTTAAAAGTTAGAAACAAGGAGTTTATACATTAAAGTTAAGATACAAATATTCATTCAATAGATTGTTACAATCAAATAAACCAAACCTTTTATTTCATTTTAAGTAAAAAAATACTTACCAATTAGAATTTCGGTACGATTGGATACTATTTAATCGACGATCAGCAGGGGCGGGTTTCGGAGAGTTATCCGGAAATTGGATGCTTCGCTGCCGGACAATATTCGAACTCTGATATCTCGGACGACGAGAAATTGTATAATTTTGCAATATATACCCATTAGTACCAGCGACGAGTTCCGATGGCACAGTTGATAGCGTGTTCGAAGCAAACTCGCCTAATTTTCGATTCGCTAAGACTTAAAATTGTCTGGAGAAATTCGACAGTTTGAAGAATCTATTGGATATGTAGATAAAAGTTTTATTGGTATGATTAACACATGCTTATAGGTCTTAATAGTTTAATGCATGCCTATAAAGTGTGCCCTAATACAAAATGACTACAGCTCAATAAAATGTTGGTCGGGAAACATAACAATGATAATCAGTTGCAACCAACGTTAGGTGGAATTGCAATACCACCTCTTTTCCCGCCACATATAAATATTAAGTTTACACTGTAACCTGATTTAAGGCTCAAATCTTTCGCAATCAAGGCGAGTGCTCGAACGATTACACAATCCGAGATCCAACAGGACTGTCAAATTTCTTAAGAAGTTTTTACTTTTACTAATAGTCAGCATATTTTCATCAATGTGCAGGCATCCACCCAAACAGCTGAAAGAAATATTTTAAGCTTTCAATTGAGACAAAAATTTGTTCTAATTATTATATTTAATCAATTTCGTAGGCATTTTTCATTAAAGATAAATAAAATTAGTTAGTAAAGGAGTTGCTTTAATATATTGAATAAGACTTTTCGTTTCAATATACATTATCTTACTTATCCGTCTTCTTAATAGCCAATATTAACTGTGTTGGAGGTAAATACCGAATACACTTAAGTGCCAAGTCAAGAGCGATTAGTAAAAGCAATTAGATGCGAAGAGCAGAGACAGAGAGTCTAACCAGGTGAATGTTACTGACGTTCACAAAATGAAGTCGAGATAAAATGATCGACTAACATAACATTAGCTGGTTTAATATTGAGTAAAGTACGTTATATCCCCCATATTTTATTGCATATTGTTTGTTTTAATACAAAAGTTTGTCAATCATTGATTAGTTCCATAAATTTCTACTAGATGGCGGTGATGTTAATATTTCAATATAAGTTAGATACGGTACATATCACCAACAGATGAAGCCTGATTCTAACCTTTCTTTGGTACAGCAAATTATGTAAGTTTGATAACCCAGTCAAATTAAAGTTTGATCTTGCAATTAAAGATAATTATAAGCTGGAAATTAATATAAAGTATCATATTGTTTACTAGTACACCGATTGACTTTTAACCTTGAACAATTTGCATCGTGATATTTGTAGAACAACAAAATAGACGTTTATTTTCTATAAGATTTTAAATTTAGTTTCACACATAAACAAGTTAAGCAATTATTGCGATTATTTGCCTGAGGTAATGAAATTACTTAACTTATTATAGCTAAGTCACAGCAACGTGCAGCTTAGTCTACTAGTTTAATATTCAATATATAAATAGCTTATCTTGCAATTTCAATACTTTTCTATAGTAAATAACATGTTCATTTATAACTATTTGAGACAACGATAATCAATACTGTACTTCATTAGAGGATTAAGCTTCATCATCAGCCATTTTATGGATGGTTAAGGATGGACCATGACCCTCCACGCTGGCCTGATGCGGATTGGAGGGTATTAACAATTGCTATTACACCGGGACCAACGGCTTATCGTGCCTTCCGAAGCACGGAGTAGCTTGAGATAATAATGTTTTGGTCACCCATCCGAGACCCTTGCGTAAGTTGCTTAACAACAACGATCACAGGCCGCGGAGTTTATCCATTACGCCGCCGAGCTACTCTTTGACGCTTAACACTAATTAAATAATAACGTGTGTATGTACCTATAACTCTGGATCGAGGAATAACTACATCCTTAACAGTTAGGGGTGATGAATTATGAAGAATGTAGTTTTCCCTTGATAATATTAACTTTTGGTGGATTAATATTTAAACGTCGATGTGTAAACTCTGGCAGCAAAATTACCAAGCACCTAATTGAGTTTAACAATTTATATTTAGATCTCGGATATCTTAATTCATATAAACAGGTCCAATTCTGGTTTTGAGCCTGTAAGACGGTTTTTTTTTAATATGAATCTATTAGATATAAACTTTATTAAAATAATAATTGACTTTCTTTACAAATCCAACAATTCACAATCACACAACTCTTTAAAGTCATTAACCCAATATCCGTATTACAATCAACATGGCAGTATGCAATAACAAGATTACGTATTATCTCATTAGTATTAATGACTTTTTGATGACTTTCATTATCCTATGATGTTCGTAAAGTAGAAAAGTTGGAACATTATTCTCAGTACATTTTGGTAATTCATTATTAAGTCAATAAATTTTATTTGTATGCCGTTCTTCAAAGTAGATTATAGTGATTTGTTAATTGAAATGCAGATTTTAAGAAGGACAATACTTACTTATCTTGTTTTAATATTAAACGAGGGCTAATTTTAGTATCAGGTTAAAAACATAACCCGACAAAAGAAGTTAACACTTCTCAATAACCTTTTTTATTACTGTCATTGTCAATATGCTTTAGGCAGCTAATTGTTTAAATCCAGCACTAACTTTGGTGTGCATTTTATAGTAAGACGGTTAGTCTAAAAGTTCCGTATCCATAAGTGATTAGTATAAAGCTAAACTTTCATGCTCTCACTTAAGAGACTGATAAAGACGTGTATTCAAAGAGCGACCTATTACTTACCCCTGACTTTCTGGTGGAAAATTGCCAGTATAGAAAGATCCTTTTAGCAATACTACTGTTGTGCCAGATAACTTTACACGGGAAGATATTTTGGCTCTATTCCGTAGAGACTGTATCGGACCTCAATAAATTGAAATTTATTGTATTACATCTTTTTTCCATTTCGTTGAAACAAATTTGAACTTTCATACTTCGAGATTTAAATTAAGATTCAATAGTTAATGACGTACCATACGTAATATTAATTTAACTACTAGCTTTCCTTGTCCTTAGGGAACTGTTCAGTAAAATAAAAAGTAGCCTATAATATTGCTTTCTTATATTTTCACGCGCATTATCCATAAATAAAATAACTTTTTTTTTATATTTTAAACGTTTCATCGTGTTTGTATTTAGTTAAGTAAACGTTGCTATAAAATTGTATCGTGAATGTGTGCAATAATGTTTTTTTAGAGGTAGCTATACTTTAAATTAAAAAGATAATCAACACCTTAGACTTATGTGTACCTGTAAAGGGTACGAAACGTCAATAAAACTAAATACAAACGTGGTGAGACAGTTTAAAAGTTGTTTCATTTAGCCTATAATGTTAATTCAGGCTTACAATTATCTAATTTCATCAAAATACGTTCAGTAGCTTTTGCGTGAAAGAGTAATAAACATACAATAATACAACCCCATAAAGTTTCTCATTTATAACATTAATAGAATTATCATGCGCTTAGTGGCCGTCCATTGTAGTAAACATGTAAATAAAAATAATGTATTAACACTATAATATTCTGAAATATTCTCTTTCCGTGAACTGTTCGTCTTGAAATTAGATATTGTCTCAGGTACCAGGCTGAATCGAACTAGTAAACTTTTGAAATTAGTAGTATTTTTGTCTTACATATTTAGTTACTCATCTGACCGGTAACAACTATCATAAGAGTGCATTCAACTTGAAATGTCGGTCCACAATAACAAGTTTGTGTATTATGTCATCAGTATATTTATCTTTAATGACCTTCATTATCTTACAATGCTCGCAAAGGAAACTATGCGTTGGAATAATACAACAGTACTCATTTGACCGTACAATATGAAGCTTGTCGTTTTGATTTGCCTGTTGTACTCTGCAATATGTGAAAGCAGAGTAGCTTATAGTGAGAGTGATGTGCAAACCGGAGTTGCAGATGTTACGAAAGAAGGTCCTGTGAAATTGCAATGTACATTTAGAACTCTAAATGGAGGTGATCCATACCCATCGGTAATAGTTAGATGGCATGATCGTTTTCATGCTCTTACATGGGATTCTGAGAAGAAAGAAGTTTTCAGAGAAAATTATAAGCATCCTACTGCTTCTCATTCATATCCTGGCGGTTCAGGTCTATCCGGTGGAGAATCGACAGTAACTCAAGAGCTATTTAATGATGCTACAGTTGTCCCGGATAATTTTTCGCAAGAAGATATTATAGATTCATTCCGTAAAGATTGCGTGAGGCCTTATTAAATAGATATTATATTTTATTATGCTTTTTATTTCGATTTGATTTTCATAATTTATAATTGGATTCTAGCAGGCTAATTTCTTTTTTAATATGATAAATATTCCACCTGTTTTTTGAACAGTGCCCGAAGGGAATTAATTTATTTGTCTCCGGTATCTGTCAGTCGTAATGTGAAAACTTTTAACTTCATAGATAAACTTGAAATTTTCATAGAATTCTTATTACTATGAACTAGCTAGCTATGGACTAATTCTTATTACTAAAAGCCGAAAATATTTTCTAATGGCTGGTTCCCAAACGAAAAAGTTAAAATATATATTCTACGTGTTGATTCTCATCCGGCGCATAAAAGCAAACAAACAATTAGCGATATACTTCTTTAAATTGACATAGCTAGACTTTTTTTTTACAAAGTATCTATAACCAAGGTCTCCGTTATAAAAAATATATAAAAAAATCATAAAAGACTTAAAGTCGGTTAAAAGTGAAATCACGAGTTATCTCCATATTGGATACGAACACGTTTCCAAGTAAATATAACTTTCTTGTGCCTGACTCATGCTTGTTAGACTTTTATGAAACCTCCAGAAATATTTTAGATGTTTGAATATACCCACTTACGGTGTAATAGTAAAAAATAACAGTAGCTCCTACTTTCAATATCTTGATGGAATATATATATTTACAGAAACTTTGTAGGGTTAAATGGAACTGCCCAAGGGGACACGCGTAGCCCGAAACAAAGTTTATCAGTAATCTTACTCCTAAACCGTTTTGGGGTAGGATTATGGTAGGCCAAAGCTCCACGTTCAGTGAGCAAACACATTACATTGGCTCACTTGCTCTTGACATATTGTTGAAACAGAGTAACTTGAAAATTTCCGCTTCTGCTTTTCCGTTTGGATTATATAATTTTATTTCTTTAAGGATTAGTTTTTTAAATCTCTAATTAGCTAACCTCTGTATTATAATACTATTAGTGTGTCAAATTTCAGCTCAATCCGTTCAGTAACTTAAGCTGTGTATTGTTAGAAAAATAACCTTTACACTCGGTTTCTGAATTGAGAATTTGAAGTTGAGCACGTCTCAAACCACGCTTAAGCCATTTTAAAGGTCAATTAAACAGGTTTTCATTACTGATTTATAATTTTTTAATGATCAGTTGATAGCGATTTGATAAAACTAGGACTTTTTGCCATATGAAACGTAAAAAACTTAAGTTATTGAGAATAATCAGTTGAGATTTTGTGCTTTTCTCAATTCAGAAACTAGCAGTTAGTCACCTTTGAATTTATATTACTTTACAAGAAGTCCTTATTCGTAATATTTGTTGCGTCTATAGTGAGTTTAAATTTCCAATAAACATTAATTGTAATTTTTTAAAAGATAAGACACTTTAGGTTTGATGCCAGTCTTATAATATTATTATAAGTGTGTCGACATCTAAGGAAATGTTATTTTGATAAAATTTAAGAGACAAACGGTCATTTGCACAAAAATCCATTAAGGTTTAATGACGCCTTTAATATCTAATGAATGTCAAATTTGTATGAGTAATGTCGCTTTAAATTAATGGTTTTATGGTAGTAATGGGTGAGATTAAAGAGTTATGTTATTTATTTATTTAAAATTCGTATTATGATAATTTCCTTTTTTAAAACTAATCGATTATTTTATAGTTTACATATGTATATTCATATAAACAATGTATCAGAATTTGTTAATTTTTATTTACCAGATTTATTGTTATTCAAGGAATTATTTGAATTCAAAGTAAAAAAGACAGACGCTTATTCGAAAGAAGAATTGAAGTAATTATAATTAGCATTTATGTCTATCCCTGCACGTAAATAATTAACTCAACGAAGCACGCATATTGTTATAATAGCAGTTAGGGCACAGCTATTGTTAATTCAGCGTACTTAGAGTCATATTGTCTTTGGCAAACAGTGAAAGTTTACTCATAAACTGCCTTCGTGGCTCAGATTGCAGAGTTTATGGGAAGGCCTTAGCAAATTCTTATTGGCGAGTTTTCATAGCCAGAACAATTTGCACGTTCCACGTAATTTTACTAATCTGGTATAACTAATGGGGCTGCTTAGAATAACTTGATGGCAGGTTATTTTGCTTTTTATTTTACTTCAATTCTTTTCGTACAAAATACAACTTAAGACAAGTGGTATCATCATCATCAGCCCTTTTACCTTTTGGATGGTTAAGGAGCAGGGCCATGAACCTCCACTCTGACCCAGTGCGGGTTGGATGGTATTAATGACTGCAAATGCAGGCTGAATATATATGATAATGATTTAACGTGCCTTCCGAAAGAGCTCGAGATAAAAAAAATTGTCAGCTATCCCGTGGCCGACCCTTGCCAAAGTTACTATACAAAAACGATCAAGTGGTGCTTATTCACTACGCCACTGAGCTACTATGAATAAATAAGACAGCTAGTATAATAAATTTATAATAGGTACCTCAAATCATCAAATCAAACAAGAGTTATATATGTATGTTATGGACCAAGTGATAAATTGAGTATTATACATAATGCCCGGTTATTATAAAAAATGCCCAATATGACATAGCAATTTAATAATATTTTTTACTAAGTAATCGGTCTTATTATTTGAATAAATTAAAAAGAACTTTATACATTAAGAATCCATTAGTTTATGCATTTAAAACTTATAGAAAGTAACATTAACAATGTAGGTAACACAAAACATATAAAATTAAAAATAATACTATAAGATGCTAATTATGCCAAATAATAAATCTGATTGTTGGTTATTTTTTTGTGACAGATAACAAAATAACTTAGCATATTTGAAGATATAGATATACCGTGTCACACGTTCTACCCTCTCCATCCGCGTCAAATTTAGCTTTATTATCAAATTGCTCAATTGTCGTGTATCAACATAATAATGACTGAGCAATGCAATAAATATTAATATTATATCAATAGTCCGGTAGAGCTAGATTTTATACATAATGCTCGCACATTAATTATAATGCCCGCATTAATCACTTGGTCCTTAACATATTAATTGCTTTCAGCATTATTGTCGGCTTCGACTACAGTTGACTATATTTTTTATAAAGTCTATTAAATTTTGGAGTAATATACCTGTTATAGACAAATATGTATCGATAAATGGAAATGAGAAATTCCCGAAATCTTTTAACAACAAAGGAACATCAAAATAAATTCCAAGACCCTTGTAATAGACAAAATGATTTATAAAGTACTTCTTTATTTAGTTCTTAATGGTCAGAAGAATTTACCGAGAGATAAGAGAAAAGGGTACGTAAACAATGTTATCTATAAAACAGATTAGGAAAAAGGACAGACCAAGGTAAGAAATACAATTAGCGTACAAAATGGAAATGTCTTATGCAGATGAAATATCTGTCATGAGGATTATTTCTGCAAGGACTGTCTGCGATTTTTTTTTTGTTGAATGAAATAAAACCAATTCTTTGACCATATTTTAATGTCATCAAATTGGATATAACAATATTTTGTTATGATATATATAAATATGATTTCAGTATCGTGATGTCCTATTGCTCTTCTTTACCTTAGAAAGGACCACCTCCTTAGAAAAAAGGGCAAACATGAATTAGGAAGAAGGAAAGTTTTGACTGTTTTCCTAGTAGAAGACTAGTAGAAGTAGGATTAAAAAAGATACTGTATAGCAAAGAGTAAATATAAGCCTTCTGGTGAAGGCGAACAGGCAGCTACTTGAGCTATTGACATCACAATTATAACTTACTGTGACATTGAGTACACTGTTATGAAGCCAAACTCATCTTTGCACCGAAGTTTTCTGTTTCTATGATTAGGGATCAGTCCATTACGCATTTGTTATAAGTAAATTCGAGTGAAACAAACAGATAATGTCAGTTGGAATTTATAAACTGATCAAAACTTATAACAGCGGATTAAAATTTCAATCAAGTCTACACTTTGGGAACGGACGAAATTTCAGAGAGGCCGGCTCGTCCTAAATTAACTTTCAAGTAAGTCTTACGAATTAACTTCAGATTTAATTCTGACATGAACACATTTATGGTTTTATTTATTTGTGATATTAAAGATGTAACGTAACATATGTCAAAATTGTGTTGTAAATTTATTTACCATCGATTCTATTATATTGACAATAATATTGTTTTCCTTAGAAACAGTGAAATTTTTTTAGAATTTTTATATAACGTATTTTTTATTTGCATTAAAACAAATATTAACGTTTATTTATTTTCACAGGTACACACGGCTGCATGTCAGATACCAATATTTTTTCACATGTCTTCACTCGATTTTAAATTCCATGCTCGAAAAAATACGGTTTTAAAATAAGTGGAGAAATTTTACAAATTCATATAACCTGATGTGCAGTTGATTGTACACTAACAGACAATCAGTATATACATATAATAAATAATATAATTGCCTTTTTACATAGTTAGACGGCAATCTAAAAACAAGTGTACACAATATAGTTATTTTTAAAATAATCTATGCGAATTTAAGTAAATGGTCTAGGCTCAATTATTTTAGGCTCATTAGTGATATTAATCTTATATGTGGTCTTCAGACCGTGATGGTCAGATGTAAGATTGTTGAATACTAGTTTATTAATCGTATCATAATCAGAATAAATATTATCCAAACAATTGGCTGAATGTGCCGTTACTCTAGTACGCTCACGAAATTGATTAAATAGATTGAAGTATTTAAATAATTATAGCAAACGAACGGATATTATACTGTTCACTAGCAGATCTACATTAAAATCACCACATACAATCAAACATTTTTAGTTTTTGGATGTAATTTCCTAAGTACATCTTCCATTACAGATTCCATAGTTATTATCAGGAGTTCGGTGTACACATACTACAATTTATACTATTTAGCTCCACACAGGATAGCTCAATATAGCGTTCTAGTGAGAGATTCACTATATCTTTACGCTCCTTAAACTTGAAATAATTATTTACAAATAGGCTCTCCTACGTGTATATGAACTTAGCATTTGGTTTTTTATTAATGAAATGACTTATACAAGGCCTTAGCCAATGCTCCGTCGCTCGTGCTCCAAAACAATTTATATGAACATCGTGTTCTTTTGCAAATAATTCTAATTCAAAATCTTTGCCAGTCAAACCTTGAATATTTTGGTAAATAATATTAAATTTACTAGATTAGACTGTTGTCTTACACTTCAGTTTAAAACTGAATTGGGAATGGGTATACTCGTAGTACTATTTAAGTTAGTAGAATTACTAACACAGTAGTTAGACTTTGTTACGTCAACTATTTTGTAAATCGAAAGCTAACAGAATAGCTATCCCAGTCCTATAAAACTTTGCTAAATTTTCTAATATATTTGTTAATATTAAAATATCATCACTGTGTTGAAATATCAAATTATATTGGGTTGGCACAAAAGTAATGAGACACACTAGAAAAATCTATAACATTTCCTTTTTAAAATCAATTTTTTCGATAATATTCTAGAATGTTGTAGAACATTCTAGGTACTTCTGGTGTAGGGTATATAAAGCCGCGCTCGCGATTTGTTTAGTCAGTTTGAAGAAAAATGGACGAGCGACAAGTTCGAACACTATACTTATACGAGTACTTGTTAGGCCACAGTGCGCGGGCTGCTGCTGACAATATCAACAATGCATTAGGTGCTGGAAGTACAAGCTATGCGACGGTGTCCCGATGGTTTGACCGTTTTAAATCAGGAGACAGGAGCCTTGAAAGTCAGCCACGCTCAGGGCAACCACCCGCAGTGAATGATGACGATTTGCGCCACGAACTGCAGTTGAATCCGGATGCTACCACTCGTGAATTAGCGGAAGCACTTAAATGCAGTCACCACGCCGTAGAACAGCATCTGCATGAGCTTGGTTATCGAAAAGTTTTGGCTCGGTGGGTACCGCACATCCTTACAGACGCCAGTCGTGCAGT